AAAAAAATATATCTATATAGCTTTTAGTTTTCAGTTTTAGATAATTTAGTTTGAGTTATTTTAGTATACTATTAAAGTTTGTTAATACCTTTATCTAGATTTTATTTTTATATTTTTTTGTAAAATATTATTATTGTCTATATAGTGTTTAGTTTTAGATTTAATTTGAGTTATTTTAGTATACTATTGATATATGTTTAAAGTTCTTGTTAATATTTTGATTCAGATTTTATCTTTATATGTTCTTTTAATTTAAATTTGAGTAAACATTTTAGTAATTTTACTGTACATTTTTGTCTTTTTAAAAAATATATATATCTACATAGTTTTTATTAAGTTTTAGTTTTCAGTTTTAGATGATTTATTTTTAGTTATTTTTGTATAATGTTAATATACTATAAAACCTTAAACTAGATTTTATTTTTTATATTTTTTGTATAATTTTATTATTATTTTTAAATATGTCTATATAGACAAATCAAATTCTAATAAAGCAAAACCAATAAAATCAAAGGCTCTACTGATACACTTAAAATTTGTAAATATTTTGAAGCAGATTTTTTTTATTTATTTATTTTTTACGTTTATTTTACGTTAAAATTTTAGTAATTTTGTAGTGTATTTTTATAGTTATTGTATGTATCTATATAGTTTTCAAATTCAATTAAACCATTAAAACGGAATCCAGAAATCATTCATAAATAAATAAATAAATAAATAAATATCATATGAGACTATTATTGTTTAAAAAAAATTATGATTTTTTAAAAATGATTAAAGTTTTATGAATTCAATTTCATTAATTAAACCATTAAAATTTAACCTAAAATTGTAAAACTGAAAACACAAAGTTCTGAAAAAATTTTACATTTCATGAGGTACTATTAATGGTAAAATATTTATGAATTTTTAAATTGTTACATTTTCATAATTTCAATTGATTAGACATACTTTTTTTTATCAGTAAAATTTAATTAAACCATTAAAATGAAATAAATAAAAAAATAAATAGGACAATATTTGGCTGAGATACAACTATCTGAAAATCTGGAA